CACTCTTTAGTGATCTGGGACCGTCAGCATAAACCTAAGGGTATTTTTGGAGGACATCTTAACATCCGTAGCCTCACCCCTAAAAGCTGAGTCAAGTGCATCACCTTCTCTGTAACTCTAACTTAGATTTTCTGTGTCTCACTGAAACATGGTTTGACTATACATGTACCAGGCTATAAAACCTTCAGACAAGATCGTTCTAAGGGCAGAGGGGGTGGGGTCATGATCTATATCAAAGATCATATTAACTGTCAACAAATATGCTGGCCATTTAATCATGATCTAGAATGTATTGGACTGAAAATAACGCTCTCTCCTGAAATGTGCTTTGTAATTATTGTTTTATATGTCCACCCTCTTCTAATAACGATTTTTATGTCTCATTTAAAAAAAATTGCTACAAGCTTGTGATTTTAAAACTGAGGTGATTCTCTTTGGTGATATGAACTGCAACTGGCTAGAGAAAACTAATAGGAAAGCCCTTAAGCAGATTACTGATAGTTTTGATTTCACACAACTCGTGGAGGGACCAACCAGAGTGACGACATCTTCTCAGACACAAATAGATTTAATATTCAGTAACAAGCCTGAGCGAATTGTCAAAACATTTAATTTCATAACTGGACTATCTGACCATAATTTAATATTAATGTCTCGAAAACTCTCAAAGAAGCGTTTTTGTCACTCTCTTAAACCCATGGAGCAATTTAGGATCCCAAAAAGTGAATTTATAAATTTTGAAAGAGCAGTGCAGCAGACTGACTGGGAAAGTCTCTTAACTGGGGGCAACCTAGAAATAGATTGCAAAAGGTTCTCAATCAAGTTACATAACTTAGTTGAAATGTTCTCACGAAAAAAAAAAAAAAAAAAAAGAAACAACATACTTCCTTGGCTTAATGCAGATATATTCAGTTTAATGAAGGAGAGAGATTTTGCTCTGAAAAGAGCTCTGAAGACAAAATTAGCTTGTGATTTTAGGTTTACATCATTAGCAATAAAGTCACAAAAGCAATCAGGAAGGCCAAAGCCAATTTTTTTCATAACAATTATTAATGATGCAAAAGGTAACACCAAACTAATTTGGGAACAGATTAAAAACCTAATGGGGAACAAACCACATGCCTAAGAAACAGTTACAACTAAAACTGGAAGGTGAATTGGTGCAAGACCCAGCACAAATTGCAATAGCTTTCAATGAATATTTTATCAATTCTGTGGCTGAAATAGCACAGAATTTCCCTTCAACTGTAGAAAAAACTTTCAGAGTTGATGAAAGCAAAACTTCTTTTTCCATTCAACCCATTTCTGAGTTAAAAACTAAAAGCAATTATTAATTCTTTAAAAATTTCAACAGCTAAGGATATATGGTATGGATTCACAAATGCTAAAATCTCTGAAAGAATACCTAATCCATCCCATCACACATATTATTAACTTGTCACTATCACAGGGAACCTTTCAAGTGCTTGGAAAACTGCAATTGTATCTCCTATCTTCAAGTCAGATGACCCTCACAATGTTTGCAATTACCGTCCAATTAGCATTTTACCTGTGATATCCAAGGTTGCTGAGAAGTGGGTATCGGAGGAGCTTATCCTCTTCTTAAATAATAGTGAATTTAACCTTCATCCATTGCAGTTTGGCTTCAGGGCTCATCATTCTACCGAAACGGCAAACTGCTTGTTTACAGAAAAAGGTCCGAGCAATGGTTGATGGAGGTGGTGTTGTGGGTGCAGTATTTTTAGACCTCCATAAAAGCTTTTGACACGGTCAACCATAAGGTCCTTTTGGTTTTTAATTTCTCCACATCAACACTGAGTTGGTTAGAGTCATACTTAACTGGTAGGCGACAGCATGTTATTGTCAACAACCAACTTTCACCAGCTCGTGACTTGTGCACTGGGGTGCCACAAGGATCTATACTTGGCCCTCTTCTTTTTGCAATATATATTAATGATCTGCCATCTGTGTGCCCTGATGTAGAAATACAATTATATGCTGATGACACTGTGATATACACCCAGGCTAGGACAAAAGAGCTGACTGCTGCAAAACTCACCTCCGCTATGGAGAAGATCACTAGTTGGTTAAACCGTTCATGTCTTCAACTTAATGTTAATAAAACGGTAGGAATGTTTTTTACTAAAAGACAATGTAACTTTATGCCAAATATAACAATTTCAGGTCAAAATATTGCTATTGTACCACAAGTTAAATATCTGGGTATCATTATTGACTCCAGTCTGTCATTCAAAACACACATAAAAACCGTGAGTCAGAGAGTGAAATTTAGCTTAGCCAATTTCAAGTACATAAGAAATACAATGACCTTTAGTGCTGCCAAATTTATATGAATGCCATGATCATGTCGCATCTCACATATTGTCTTACAAGCTGGGACAAACTAACCAGTCTACTCTAAAGCCACTGGCTACCCTGTATAAGCAAACCCTGAAAGTTTTGGATCAGAAACCTAACAGCTCCCATCATTGTACCATTTTTGAGCTGGGAAGATGTAATAAAATATAGGAACATCTGTCTAGTTTATAAAATCTTGCACAACCTAGCTCCTCCTCCTCTTAAGTCACTCATAACATAACGTATCAACACATATCGGACGACCAGGAGCACTACCCGTGGTGACTTTTTAGTCCCATTTAGAAAAAAGTTCTTTTGGTCAATCGTCATTCTCTGTTACAGCCATACAAAATTGGAACTCACTACCTGCCCACATTAAAGATATAGATACTTTTCTCCACCTTTACTAAATATCTAAAAAACATGGTTTGCTGATAATTACAACTGCTTACATTAAATTTTTTTTTTTTTTTTTTTTTTTTTTTTTTTGTGTCCTCTTGTGTGTTGTTTTTTAGAATTGTTTTTACTGCATGACTTGCATTACTGTTTTCTGCTTTTAAGTTTGCTTCTTTGACCCCTTACCTTGTTTGTGTTCGTACCTATTAGTTCATATATTCTGCATCATTGTTTGTACCTGTGCCTGTGCATGCAGCCTGCTGCTCTATTTCATTCCATTTATTTTGTTTGTATTTGTGCTCATTTATACTTGCTTTGCATTGTATTGTATTGTCTCTTTTCCCTTTCCCCTTTTTCCCATTCCCATTTTCCCATTGCCATGTGTCTTTTCTTTTTTAGGGTGCCTTATTGTCAGCTGGCCGGGGACAACAGCTGAAAACTAGCCATGGTGGCTAAAGCTGCCCTGTTTATTGTTGTAACAGTTAATTGATGGGGACTGTCCTCGTAATAATAAACTAATAATAATAATAATAATAATAATAATAATAAATTCAGCATTTTGGACTTAGAAAATCAATGTTTGTGCTTATTTTTGCAGTCTTTCATTAATATCTCAAAAACTGTCTGATAATTTTTTGTCTAATTTGTTGTGAGCCTTTCTTATGATGTACTGATGATCCCCTGCGAAAATGAGAAAATTCTACATCCGGGTTTTTGAGAAATTCAGCATTTGGGACTTGGAAAATCAGTGTTTAAATATGAATTTCCCGCTCCATTGCATCTCTATAAGTGGTTGACAAAGGAGTCAAGACAAATTTGATCGTTACAGGTCATACTTGCCATTCTACAAAAATTGTTGCTGAAAATCTTGAAATTTTTAAGTGTATATATGCCATGTGATTATGCAGATGTCATCAATGAGGCGTGTCTGATTGGTTAAGACAGGATAGGAACCAATTGAAAAATGGAACAAATGTTTGATTGTTCAACATGACAACTACGAGAGTGCTATATGGCAATCTTCTGAGTACGAAGGCATTATGGGAGAGTGCTATATGGCACTCTTAGGGGGTAAAAGGTTAGATCAGCACACTTAACAGTTCTTATCAGCTCCATGGCACCACAACAATATTGTGAATGTGATTTTCAGATTCGGTATGCATTTTATTTTGTGGAGTCTACTACCTCATACCAATAGAGTGTTAATGCATTAATGATGAATCGGGAAAACATGACCCTTTCCTTTGACAAATTATAGATATAATGTGGACTAAGGGTATTTTTTTCAATTTAGTGCATTATAATGCCATCGATTTGTCCATCTAGTCCTGATTTGTCCATCTCAGGTGAGTTACTAGTGGGTATGACTGCACAGACAGTGGGACCAAGCCACACCCCCTCCCCCTATCCCCCAAGAAAAGTACTTGAGTTGCTTCAGGTGACTGTATTATTGAGCTGTCTACTGAGGTGAAGTCCTGTTCTGGCCTGGATTAACCCTCCAAACCATCAGCAGTAATGGAACCTGGGGCTGACTCAAAGGTCATCACCTCATTTTTTTTCAGTTTAATTACCCCCCATCCCATTTGTTGCAGCAAGAGCTGAAAGAAAAGTCCCTTTGGAATGGGAGAGAGGCATGACTTCAGCAAAGTGGTTTTCCATTGCTGAGTGAGATGTGTTGCGTGTCCGCAGACTTTTTTAATGCAGTCCATTAACTGACAAATGCTTTTGTTCTCACTTGCTGTTCCCATGTCTTTTTGCTGAACTTTCTAACTAAACCGTGAAAAAAGTAGGGGAATGCAGGTCATGCTAATATGGCACCCGCAGGCGTCAGCCTCTCTGTCTGAGGGTGCAGTACAGGTTCAGAAAAACAACAAACTGTGTAAAGACGCTGGTCTTACGAGGCTAGTGAAAGGACTCATGCACTCACATAGTGCTCCCTCCGGTCCTCCAAATTTGTCCCTGATAGATTGCCCTGGATCATGTAATCTCTTTCTCAATGTAATGGTTTCATTCACGATTATGGTTCAAGTGGGCTTGTTCAGGATCCGTGTTCATGGGCACAATCTTCTTAAGGCCCAGCCCCTCTCTCACCCTGACTTTGAGTCTGGTGAACCTCTTGGACTTCTACAGCTGGACAAAGAACACTTCTCTTGCTTTGGCAAAAAAAAAAAAAAGAACATTTTTTACGCTGGGCAGCACTCCAGTAGCCAGGTGTTACCAAAACTTATAGTATCTCATCTCTTGATGGCGTGGTTGCACAGTGGTTAGCACTGTCACCTCACAATAGGTAGTTCCAGATTCAACTCCTGGCAGGTCAGCACCTCTCTGCGTGGAGTTTATATGTTGTGCCTGTGTGGGTTTTCCCCGGGTATTCTCCCCCACCCGAAAAGGCACCACTTACTTTACTGTTCAATACCCTCAACTCTGGGCAACCAAAGAAAAACTGGCAATGTCCACTGAGGATTTTTGCCTCATTATTCACTCCCAGCTGCATTGCCATGGACTTTTCTGGAATGCAGTCGAGGGACCGGCAAATGCATATTTTCCAGCCATAAACTCCTTCACTGCTATTGCTTGTTATTCTTTGGACTTGGAGATTGAGTTAATTTCTGCTTAAACAATGGTGACCTACACTTGAGGAGCCATGTTTGTTTTTCTATCCAAACTAAGGTGCTGCTCTGTGTCACCATCTTGATCATGCCCTTTACATTGGTTGCCCTGCAGATTACCGACCATGGCTTGGACAGGCACTGACAAACTGGCATTTAAGGGTGCAAATTTTCTGTGTAGCATCTAGGCTAGCATTCCAGGGCAGGTTTTGCATTTTATGCTGTAGGCCTTGAAAGCTAGAAATGACAGCTGATTCACAGGACTACACATGGTTTTTTCTGTGGTATCGTGACTACAGTGAGTCTTCTTGTTTGGCTGACAGTGCACAGAAGAGAGCATTTAGTCCTTCTTGATATTCTATTTGAAAAAAAAAATAGATTACTTATCACTCAACTCAGCCATTTTCATGCTGTGGTGGGCGATGATTAACTAGAGAGAAGTCGCTACTTGATTTTCTTGGCATTAATTCCTGCAGACTTTAATATGAACCAAAGGTCCTTTGCTAATCAAGTACATTTGATTGTCTGCAATGGAAAACTAGGCATGGAATCCATTCAGAGATGCATTCAGTCAATAATTCTCTTGTGATAAAAATTGTCTATTTATTAGGATCTTCAAATGAAATGAGTAATAGTTTTTTGCTGAATGCATGTGTGTGTATATGTCTGAGCCAACAGAAAATTCAAGCAAAAACCATGTATGCTCTCTCATGTCTCAAAATGTGCTGCAGTTGGTGTGGCTGTAAAGTAAGCTGGATGCACAAAAAGACTCAAGACTGATGCTGATCAGTCAGTTGTGGGCACTGTACAGTATTGACAAAAGTAATTCTTTTGATCATATTATGGTCTTGAGATGGGAAGCCTGGTGAATAATGTGTAGCATTAAAACCACCTGGCATGAGTGAGTCTGCTGAGACAAACAACTGGTCTGGTCATGGTTTCTTGACATTATCCAGGCAGCAGTAATAGCCATGGCAACCAGTATCACCAGCATATTCTCCTGCTGAATGAGACACTGTTGAATATTGTGTACATGAAGGATCTACAATTAATCAAGTGCACATTTGCCGGGAGTATATGTGCGCTTGTAAATATTCACATACAAGACAGATTTCTTGGGACTTCATTAAATAATAGGAGGTTGACCATTTATGTGTTCTGTGATTTTAAAAAGTTTTCTATTTTCAAACAAGACAGGCACAGGTTTCACTTGTCAGAAACATTTAGTGGATGCGGTCTGGTCAGAAATACGCTTGAAAAGTGGCAAATTTTGCTTTTTGCTTGTCTAAACTTGCTTCACACTAGCTGATGCTGGCATGATGACCTGACCCATGAAGTGACCCAACAGAATGCATGCTGTAGCCAGTTCCATTGTGATAAGGGCGTGAAAGATGAATTCATTTGACCTGACTGGGCTTGTTCAGCCAAAGACTGTGCAAGTTGACCTCAGACGTTTTGAAAGCAAAAGTGCACCCACCCACCCACCCTCCCGGCATACATTTCTAAATTGGGTAGCAAAGACACGCTTGTGGTTTCCTCATTATTTCGGACCTTTACAACACTTGAACTCTTGATGGGTTTTCTCTGCCCTCAACTGACTGCTTTAGAATTCTTACTGAACTTGTGGAGCTGGTCAAGTCACACGTTAATGGTGGTCAGCTTGAACTAACAGTCTGCTTCCAGTGATTTCCTGACAGTGGTCAAGCGTTTATTGACTAAAGATTCTGTTCTTAAGTTTGGATTTAAGCAGCTCCCCTGGATGTGCATGTAGGAACACATTCTGCACTTATTTGGGACTTATTTTCATCATTCTCGGATATGTCATTCATTACCCCCTGACAAGAGTGTTCAAGTCAGCCTCCCTCTGACCAGACTTATTGCTTATTGGCCACTTGCATGACTTGCGTTGAACTACAATGTTTTGATAGTTGACCAGGAGAACTATAAATAACCTGCAGCTATTTTCAAGGGCAGCCCAATTAGGAAGGGATGGAGATTTATCGCTCTCTGGAGGCACTGTGTCGGTTTAGTTAGAAATCTTGGGGTTAGTTTGTGAGAGAGTGAGATGGTTGAGCTTTGTGACTGTGTATGATAGTGTACTGGGCAGCTGTGGCAATGATTTACACTGCAATGCACAAACTCCTTGTTTTTTATCGGTAGATCAGATGTAAGAGCTTGAAAATAAAGGGCAGTGTGCAAATTGGCGTGCTTTGTGAACAAAGGCTGCCCAACAAATATAAATTTTTGATTCAACTGTTCACAAAGTTTGTTTTCACTGTGAAGTTCATTTGGTTTTTCAATTAATTAATTCTTTTATTCACCAATGTGGCATTAATTTGTCAAGAAAATTAATAATGCTACATGCTACAAATGACTATCTCTGTTTGAAGCCAGTTTTTCTACCCTGCAGGAGAGACTGGCCAGCTGGTTTGCCATTGCCAATAATCAGAGAAGAAGAATGCCTTCTTCAATGATTATTGGCAGTTGGCAAACCAGTTTACATTATTCGTAATCCTTGAGTAATAGCGTTAAAGTAACACTTTGAATCCTCAAATTTCCATGGAAAACTCAATAATGTATAAAAACACAATGCCTGAGTAACTAAAATATATGAAGTATATATAAAATATAATGCAAAAGGATGATAAATTTCATTAGTTCATTCAACCTTTATTTAATCTTGAGAAATCATTGAGGGCATGCCCTCATTCCAATGACATTGAGAGTACAATTAAAACAGAATAAGAACAAATAACCATAGTAAATGAGAACACAAAAGGAAACAACCAAAATTTAAATCGGTATATGTCACAGGAAAATGGACCAGCAGGAAAAATGGAGCACAGTTTAAAACAGTTACATTTATGAGCGGAATAGTTTGTCATTGTGTTCTAAAACTGACCCATAGTGTATTGAGTTTCAATGTATGTTGTAAAGTGTTCCTGGAGTGTGCAGCAAGTAAAGTGTGTTCCCAATTTCTACTTTTTACTCGTGGAATTTTGAGCATTAGCCAGTCACTTGAGCGAGTATGATAGTGGCTGTTAATCCAGTTTAAATCGTTCATGCAGATGTGGACGCCCGCGGAGATGGATCTGCTCTATTTATGCATGCAGTTTCACTATTTTATCACTAGGTTGTACACCTGAAATGGTTATTGAATATTCATGAGGAAGCGGTGCCTTTAAACAATAAGGAATATGGAAGAGTTCAGGCCCATCCCTGTTTCCCAGGAATTGTATGAATGAAACACCTCAGCCAAGCCTGTTGTGCAAACTGCCTGATAAACCTGCCCATGGTATCTATCCAGCAGTTAATAAAAATGATCTCTTGAGACAGAAAAAAATCATTGTCCTTTGTTGCAACCATTTTAGCTATAATATGCCAAAGGTATCACAATTAAGTAAAAATCATTTTTTTATGCAAAAATTCAACAGGGTATTGATACTGTGTCATTCTACTGTCAATTTTAGTCATCGGATATTAAAAATGCTTGATTCACTACCAAAGATTTATGCGTAGATTCGCTCCTCGAAGAATATGGTGGTCACCTCAATCCTCATGCGATCTCTCACTGAAATCCGGTCACTTTCGTGCTTGCTCAGGCTTATCTGCACAAAGCACAGTTATAGTTCCAGTGATGTAGCAAACTTTTTGGACAGGAGGTCTTTTTGTGATGACAAGGGGTCCATGATGGCGGAGTAGTGTGAGCGATGAAGGTGCGAAGCGTAGCTAGGGCATCTGGGGACATGCTCCCTCGGAAAATTTTTGGAATTCGGAGCTTCCTGAGGTGCATTTTTGTGTGTTCTGAGCAATAATTTTTCAGTTTTTCCTGAGGGAGAAAAAGTGTGTCAGTTTTACATATTTGTGACTGAAGTGAGAAATTTCATGTACTATAAAGACAAGTCTGACAGTGCTTCGGCAAATTTTTATTGCATATCCTTACATATGTAGATGCAAGTACATACTGATTTGACAAATTTTATGATCATAAAAAAAATAACAGATCAGCGAATAATTGAAAATGATTTACTCTTGATATATGACTTTAAATATTGAAACGCTTTTCCTCCAATGAACAGCTTCAGGAATGGAATCTGCAGTTCAGTTGTTGAAATGTCATCAAGATAGGAAGCGTTCTGCTGCAAAAACAGATATCCATTGTCCCAAATAGAGAAAACTTCATTTTTTTTTTTTTTTTTAATTATTTTTTTGGGATTTTCACCTTTATTTGACAGTTGCAGTGTAGAGAGAGACAGGAGGGTTGGGGAGAAGAATGGGAAGACATGCGGCAAATGACCCGGGCTGGAATCGAACCAGTCTGTAAGGACACAGCCTTTATGGTGCGCGCGCTTAGACCAGTGAGCCACCGGGGCGCCCAGAAAACTTCATTTTTAACAGAAAATGCATAGACAAGATTTTCCATAAAAATATCTATCAATAACACCAAAACTGTTGCACAATCATATAGTCTCTACGAATCCCAGCTACAGCTGTGTACCGGGGGAGGGGGGTACGAAACTCGAAAGGAACTCATTTCCATCTCAGCTTTCATAGCCGTGTGGCGCACACGCAGTCAACCACAAAATATTTCAAGTGCCAGGAGGTCTTAGTTCCGAAAATGCTCAATTATGCATTAGAAACATGTATCATATCATCATAAAAAATAATCCTGTACGAAAAAGTTTTATTAGTGATTTTGGCAAAAAAATGTGTTTTTATTCACTGCTGCCAAGCGTTTTCCGAATCCATATTCAGCGAACCTCGATCTGGTGTTATAATTAGCTTGACGTCATCAAAGGGACTCTTGATCAAAACAAAGCCAGCGTGTGAATGGAAAACATGGAGAGCGATTCGGATTCCACATCTTTTTCATCGATTCCTCTGGCGAATTTGATAACAGTGATAATATTTTGTTCGTGCCTGGTGAAGATGGTTTAGAGGACAAATGAAATGTCCTGGAAAATTGGCAAGCACCTGTTTAATTTACTCCCTAAACACGGTATTGACCAGTTTGGCTTAAGCTTTATTCCTGACCATGTTAAAGCCGGTCTTTTCATGACAAAAGCCGAGGATTTCCCCTGGGTACCGGCTTCTGTTTACATCCCTGAGTTCACAGCCGCATGAAACTTCCTCGATAACTATCTATTTATTTTAGGGGTGGGTATCGTCAGTCACCTCCCGATTCGATTCAGTTACGATTCAGAGGGTCCCGATTCGATTATTAAACGATTCTCAACGCATCTCAATTTCAGATTTCTGTACATGGTTTATTTCTCCCCATCAAAACAAACTATCGGGTGAAATTAAAACCCTTTTATCTATACATTTTTGTAACTAATCACATGAACAGCTGCTCCTTTTCAAATAAATAAAATACTCATCTTCCATTCCACATGATAAGACTGAACATAGTGCTCAAAAATAGTTAAAAATAAAACTCTTTTAACCCTCAAGCGACCAAGTGTTTTCAGCGACTAAACTGACCGAGTGGGGTCATAAATGACCCCGCTGTGTTTTATGCAAAAATTGTTATTTTTAATGACTATTTTTAAGTTCATCACATCCACACAGCTTCATTTATGTATGCCCGATATAAGTAAATGATCAAATGCAAAAAATTAAGCATTTTGATTAATTTTTATGAATGCCAAGAATAATGGAAAGTTGTGTGGGGTCGTTTATGACCCTAAAAAATGTACATGTTTTTTGAGTTTAAGGGCATCGATTTTTGGCAATGGTCAATTTTTATTCACTAACCTTGCCTATCAGGACCAGAATAACATGGTTTGCAGCTGTATGTACCCTTGCCAAGGAAGTTATGTTTTCATTTGTTTGTGTGCGTGTCTATCTATCAGTCACCAACTTTACCCCAAAAACTAATGATGCAATCTGCGCCAAAATTTACATAGGGGTCATGATTGGTGCAAGGACAAAATTGCTAAAATTTGATCTCATCTGAGCTGAGCACTATAAAACTAAAAATATTTTTGAATTAAAAATTGACGTATTTGCCAGATTAACGGATTGAGTGTTTTTGTCATTCGATGGATGGTGTGTGGCCCTCAGAGTACACATTTTCAATCTCTAGAAAATGTCGTAATAATAAAAATAATCATAATAATTTGATTTGGATGAGGTATGCCGCCTTGGAGTTCTTTTTTGTCGACTCAAAAAAACTGTATCTCTGGGGTCATAAATGACCCCACACATCTTTCAGCTGTCCTTGACACAGAAATAGGCCAATTCCTCTGAAAATCTATGAAAATTCCTTGGAGGATCAGCTTGACAAACTCATTGAAGGAAACATTTTTCTCATTTAAAATATTAAAACAGCACATAGAAATGTATGTCTGGGGTCATAAATGACCCCACTCGGTCGCTTGAGGGTTAAAGTGTATTACATTTTCATACATTGAAGTAAACCAGATTTACATTGAAAAAATTATTATTTAGCGGCTGTATTATGTAATGCGCATTTCTTACACTCAGTAAAAATGTGGCAACAGCTCCCCTACCTCTTTTGCACTCTTTGTCTTTGACTTGCACTTCTCAATGACTTCATTTCCTCGAGCTTTGATGTCACGGTAAAGAGTTGGTATAGCCATGTCTGTTAAGAATCGCCTGAAAGGGACGTTGTACCTCGGTTCCAGGGTAGGCAGGAGAAAACGATGGCCTTCGCTTTCACACGACGGAGTAAGGGCGCAGATTGCCAGCTATAAAAATTGCAACAGCCTTTGTGATGTTTTTGGCCCTGTCAGAGTTGGGTGCCAGCTTTGATACCAGTGTCTGTTCAAGAGTTTTCTGGTTGGATACAACAATGGTTTTTTTTTTTCCCCTGCTCAAGTTAGCACGGAGTGGTAACAGGCAAGATAATTTCTCTTATTTGTCGTGTTGCCTACGCACTTAATTTTTGCCTTTTACGTCTTGCAAATTGCATAAGTCTTGTCTAGCTCCGTTTTTTTTTTTTTTTTTTTAACCATCGATTTCACTAAATCCAGTGTTCCCAAACATCAGCTTTCTCTTGCACCCGCCCCTCCTTTTTTCGCGCAATCTACTGTATATTGTAAATACGGCGCACATGTTCTGCATAAAAGACACACCCCTCCAGGGCATTCAAACGCAAGGATTGGCCAGCGATTCAAGCGGTAGGATTCCAATCCTAGAGCTGAATGGCTGGCTAATCCTGGACTAGGTTGACTGGCCAATCATAGCACTTGAACCTTCCAGAGGGGCATGTCTTTGCAAGAATGTAGGTGGGTTCCATAATGACTCATAACCTCAAACTCCCAAACTCCAGGAGTGGCAGTCCATTGAAAATTGCGTTGATAATCGATTATAGACTCTCCTGCATCGATGCTGAATCATTCAATAAAGCATCGCAGTGCATCTTAGAGTCGATTAGTTCCCCCCCTAATTCCTTGACACATTTTTTATCCAATTCCAGACAGTATATAGTGGTAACTTGCTCTTTAGTGATAGCACCATTTAATGCAGAATAATCCACTGGGATTTTGGAGTGATATATGCTGCCCTCAAGACATCTTTTCGAGGGATGGCCATGCATCTTTCGACAAGACAATTCAAAACTCCATTCTGCTCGCATTACAAAGGCACAGCTATGTAAGAAGAGGGTGAAGGAGCTGGACTGGCCTGCCTGTTGTCCTGAATTTGCCCCAGTTGAGAACGTGTGGCGCAATTTGAAATGCAAAGTGCCGCAACAAAAATCTGGTTCTATTGCACGCTATAAAGATTGTTTACTGGAAGAATTGGACAAAATTACCCTATTTCACTTGGTATTTTCAGTGCTGACACATTTATAAATTTTTTAGAAAAAGAATGGCAACATTACCAATCGGTGAATACTTTGCTGTCCCAACTTTTTTAAAATATGCTACAAAAATTAGAGGTGTTCATTTTAAAAAAAAATCTATAATGTGCTATTAGGTTGTTTCAACATAATACAAGTCAAAAATAATTTACAAATCACTGCTTTCAGTTTCAGTTATAATTCAACATACTGTACCATCTTTTTGTGATTTGGAAAACAAATGTTAGAAACAAGTATACACAATTAAAGAATGTTGAGTAAAATGCAATTTTGCGTCGTAAAAACACATTCCATTTCTCATGTTAGCTTAACATGGAAACTGCCCACGTGTGATAATGTTAAGTTTTATCGGATTTTACTTAATGTTAGTTTAAAGAAATGATTGAAGACGGGTCAAAACCAATCATTGGTTTCAACGGAAGTTCTGGGCCTCAGTTTCCAGCTCACCAGCCGCCACTGTTTACCATAACTGCTGAAACCTGAGTGATATCTTTTGCTTTAAACTCGCCTACATTTAAGAGCCTATATTTCAGAATCCTGTCTGCAGTGGAAATGCAATGGAAAGGCAAACCAGATCGAGAGATTGGGTACCTGTCTGTGCAGGTTATGTACTGGTTTAAGGGACTTAACTAAAAGTGTTTGGTGGAAACATGGCTTAAGAAATTAGTTGGATGATCTCAAACATTTAAGTACGGCATATAAGCAAAAATAGAACAAATCAGGAATGGAGCATTTTTCTGTGTGTGTTCATGTTTGTGTGTGTGCGAATGTGTATGTTTTATAAGTATGCACCATGCATAATCATGTTGACATTATGACTTAAGGACGTGGTAATGCACCGTACTGGACTAATGGCTGTGGTGGTTCAACTGAATGTGAAGATTAAATTTAAAAACTTATTTTTTCAAGCATATATTTTGCAACATCAATGCCTTGTAGTTTTGATCAGCTTTGATTAAGCATATTATATTGGCAAAAAAGAGGTCAAATCTCTGACACAGTTAACATTGTTTCATTATTTCTTTATTTGGATTTTGGCTGAAATATTAGGACCTCTTCCGTGTAGGTCTGTTGTCACTGTGAATTTGCAACGAGACAATGATTTCATCTGAAAGCAGATGAGCAGTGCATGTTCCATCAGTGACCGGAGGATATACAAGTCCCCAAATGTTGAGATTTAGCGATTGTTATTGAATAGTATTCATTCAAACAAACTCGTTTATTTAACGGAATTTGTGGCGATGGCATCAAAGTGGAGGTCCTTGTTAAGAGTGTTTTATGATTCAGTGTGATGCTGTGATCAGATACTTTGGTCTGTGGCACTGTTATTATTCTGTGGTTCTTTGAGCTGCTTAATCAGCCTATAATAGCTCTGCTGTACTTATTTATTTTAAATCCACTATGTCAGGTCCTAGATCAGTTACTCTGCTTTTCCTGCCTGCATTTCTGTTTTTCTTTAGAGCCCACACTCTGCTTTAACAGTCAGTGTTGATCTCTTGCTGTTTCTGACTTCTGTTCAACTTCAGGTAAAAGCAACACTGCCAC